GGTTGTAAGTGGAACTGAGTGAGTGCAGCGGGTCGTGGAACATGTAGGGGTAACTGCTGTGTTCCCGCTGCTGCAGACAGCTCCCCGAAACGCTCATATTGCTCAGGCTGTTGGTCATGGAGCTGCAACAGTGACGAAAAGCTGACGGTCACTCAGCTGCTCAAAGCGTCTCTGCCCAGTATACATTTCACTCCAACACATTTTAATATTATCCTCCCACCTACGCCTACGACACCTAAGTGAAGTAGATTCCTTCCTGAGAAGCTGGTAGTCTCTAAGTTTGTTGAGAAATCTACCTTCAAATGAGATCGCCATTCGACCCTGATTTAAGGTGGATGAATCCACGTGATAATATTAAAACGGAGCAGGGAATGCTTTCAAATGAGCTGACACAGAACAGATTTAAGTTGGGAAATTTCGTTTTAACGGTAGTAACGTGCTCTGAAGCATCAGAGGGTTAATGTGTGTTTACTGTTTGTCCTTTAGTCGAACTTCCGTCTGCCCTAAATACAGCAAAGAGGAGTTTCAGACAGAAAAATGTGGGACAAATCCGTTGAGTGATGGACCAGCAGACGTGGAAGAGGATTACCCACATGACAATCTCAGGGGTGGATAAAAAAATCCAACTGCCGAGTTTGGCGTCAGATGGAATACATTGACATTGGTCTTCAATACGCAGGACTGGATTTATCTGGCTCACGTCCGCAAGCAGTGACCGGCTGTTGTGAATGCGGTAATGAACTTTGGGGTTGTATAAAATGTTGCAAATTTTTTGACTGCCTGAACGACTACTAGCTTCTCAAGAAAGGCTCTGCTCCGTGGAGTCAGAACAAATTTTTTACATTAAAAGTTTTTAGGCAATGATATTGAACCGGATGTTAGCAGCCACTTACGTAATCTGATCAACTGTTAACTTATTCCTGAAAGTAATTTTAATTTTCTGTTGTCCTCTCCAAATATTTGAACTTTGTGACATGTGTAATAAGTTTGTAGTAATTTTGTACTTGTCTGGTGACGACACATGAATAATTCAGCATCGTCCACGTTTAGGATCGTTTTTATACCATCCCCACACCAGTGTTTAAAACTCTAACAACACTTATTTCATTTTCGTATCATCGCCGATGACAGTGGCAGCTCGTGACCTTGCACCACCTTCGAGGTGAGATCGAAGCATGTTCAATTTTTTTTATGCCGATCTTTCATCTATGGACTCCAAAGGAACTATTTAAAGCTCTAAATGAGGCTTACACCTCTACGCATTTAATTGAGACATTAAGAAATAACTTTTTTGTTAGAGAATGTGCCATCTGCTCAGTTCCAGGACGGAGCTACTCATGAGACCGCGGGTTCTTGCCTCGTAACGAGAGGACACACTTAAATTCGACCCCAGGACCTCTGTCTCACCTGTACGTGTCGGCCATGGTGGCTATCGGTTGGGGGATCGACGTGTACATCGAGTTGAAGCCCGAGTTGATTGGCAGGCGACTCGTAGGCGCCGGGGGGCTCACCCCCACCTGCTCCACCACGCGTCGCTGATTGCGCAGTTTTTCCTCTCGACGCCATTTTGCCCTTCGATTGCTGAACCAAACCTAAGACAGAAACGAAACAAAAGAACTGAATTGTAACCTGCGAAGTGTTTTGGACGCCGCACCTGGCCCCAGCATATGGTCCAGTCAACGGCGCGGGGTCACTGTGACCCCTAGAGGTTCTGTTACACACGCAGAAGGTCCTGACATCGAAACGGGCATCAGCATAGGTTCAATGTCGCTCATATTGGAAAGTCCCGCGTTCAGTGACAAGACTTGTCATGAGATGATAAAGTTGCGTCATATTGTGATAAATATATATTTGTTTAAATCTTGTCAGTCTAATCGAACATTTCGATAGAGAATATCATTTAATATATTTTAAATATTTAAATGTTAATTATGGTAATATTTTAATATTTAATAGGAATTTCATTGTGATTAGACTGACAAGATTTAAACAAATATAAGACTTGTCATCTTAACCGAGGATTAACTTAGGCTCATTTGGTGTGTCTGATTAATATTAAGAGACGCTGCTGGAAAAATGCCAACACTAAACTTTACTAATATCCTTTTTAGTAATATCCATACCTGCGTTTTTATAAGCATGCTAATGTTGTACTGAAAAAATGCGTCACGGGACACAGAATGACGACGAATCGTAAGCGAACGAAGGAACTGGATAAGAACGGGGAATAAAGGGCATAAATGCGATGGATCGTTATTTTATTTATTTATTTTAAAGAATTTCATGTAGAGGCGAGATTATTCTACTCCGGACCGGTTCACTCGTTTCCCTTTTTATGCTAATGAACACGTGATATGGTGAAGGCAGTCCGTTTGTGTAGATCCCTATGGATTCGATCATAATGGATTGTTTTGTGTTGGAAACAATTGGGTTTATAAAACACGACCTGAAACCGTTTTCATGGCGAGAACCCCCAGTTCAATTACAACATAAATACCAAAATAACTTACAAAATATCAGGCAGGAAAATATTCAGTTTCGATTTTACTTAATTAAGCTACTTCATATGATTACAACAAAGATGATTAATTTAATTGTTGCAAATTAAAAAGTGCTGGGTTTTTTTTTCGTTTTCGAAAAGCTTCAAATTGAGATGTTGAATAATTCAAGCTGCCATGAGCCTACCTTGTTCATTATCATCTCACTCCATAGATTATAGACTGACAGGGTAGCCTGTAATTAGTTACATCGAGTGAGCAAACTGCACTCCC